AATTCTCTTTCAGAAGGATGTGTAAGCTAAAATTAATAAAATTCGAAAACTCAACTTGGGGAAATAAAGCACATATTTAAAGAAAACAAAAGAATGTATGTGTTAGGTAGTTGTTTCAGAGTTCATTGCACAGCAAATTGGGCTCCTTTATTTTTGCAGTATTTCCATCAGAGAGTATCTCTGTGAGATTTTACATTGTTGGCCTTAATAAGCAATATTCACTTTCCCTTCATCAACAGAATATCTTACAAGCTCATAAAATATACATTTTAAAAAAGAGAATAGATTGCATTATCTCCTTGTGGTTTCCTTTTCAAATTGCCAATAACTAGAGGTTCAGAAAATATAGGGATGACATCAGTCTGCTCTATTTTAGACACTCAGATATTTTGAAAAATGAGGAAATGTCAATAGATCAAATTTAAAAGGTCAAAAGAAAAGAGAAGCCAACAACACTAACCAAATATATTATAATTCATTTTTGTAATGTATATTGAAATGTTCTTATTACATGGAATATTATTTAAAAAATTTCTTGGCTGGCATGGCTCAGTGGTTGAGCATTGACCTATGAACCAGGAGGTTGTTATTTGATTCCTGGTCAGGGCACATGCCTGGGTTGCCAGCTTGATCTCCAGTGGGGAGCTTGCAGGAGGCAGCCTATCAATGATTCTCTCTAATCATTGATGTTTCTATCTTTCTCTTTCTCTCCCTTCCTCTCTGAAATCAATAAAAACATATATTAAAAAAATTCCTATGCCAATGAAGTTTTCACTATTTGCTTCCCAGTAAATTCCCATATTTTGCATGATGAAGGAAAAATTGTACCTATACTAAAAGATGCTGAAGATATTTAGCACTTGAATCTTCTGAAAAGTGAATGAACAATGGAGCTCTAAGCATGCTACAATAGGAGTGAAGTGGCATTGGGAGTGGGCTGCACATTAGCACTTATGAGCCACTGTGGTAACATTTCCTGTGCTGGAAGAGGTCATTTACTAAATAGACTGTGAACTGAAAGAGCAAATACACATCCCAAATGTAAGCTGCTATTCCCTTCTCACAATTAGGACCAAGCACAGTTTGCACACATTTCAGCTTCTTGTAATTTACTTTTAATGTTGCATTTTTTTGTCTTTAAGAACATTTATCTTCATCGCCTTCATGTAACATTTTTATTTCAGTAGGTAGGTAAGGAAAAAAATATTACATTTTGAGCTTAATCAAGAATGATTGTGTGTTTTCAGATAGTATAGATTTAAAGTAACATTCTAACAATTAATAGTGTATGAAATGCTATAAATGAGAAAAGTTTTGTAGAAGACTAATTTACAAATTTCAGAGAAAGTTCTCTTTGAATAATGAATAATAATGAATAAGTTCTCTTTGAAAATATATTTAATGATATTTTCAGTTTTTCATCTCCACTATATAAAAGAGAAAATTGAATCTCAACACTCTCCAGTAATCTCGAGACATAATATTTTATCATCATTTACTAAAAAGGAAGATAGCTCCTGGTTTAAGACTAATTTTTCACAGACTAAATCAAAAGAAGGTATGTTTTTAGACCAACAGACAAATATATTTATATTTATATGCTTACCTCTGTGATAATCAGAGAAGGTAGAAATAACCTTGAGTGCATTTCTTGGCAACTGATTGTCTAAAAATGTATAAACACATTTTTGTGCAATAGTCCCATTACTTTGAATGTTTGAATGCCTTAATATTTCATTTCCATGTGAACAAATTTTGAGCACATCAAAATGCTAATCAATTGTCAGAATAATACAGTATTCTCATGCAGAATTCTCTTCTGTGGGAGCAGCCAATAGGATCACCTTACATAAACCAGAACACTTTTGTCCTAATGGGCAGAGCATGCCTATCATTTTCCTCATGTTTTCTTCATGATCATATGACCATTAGTAACATTTATGGATAGTGCATTTGGTCAATGAGATTTACATTTGTATGTTTGTGTATTTAAATGATATAGCTATAGTTATCTTTTTCCCCAAAATGGGCTTTATTAGCCCATTTTTGGGAAAAATTATAAGGCTGACTGATGATTTCAATGGTCTTATAATGTCTCCCTCCTATACATGTTTAATTAACTAGATGCTAAAAACATGGGCAGTAGGGGGCTCTGAATTGATTGATTTTATAATTGCAATATTTCTCTGAGTGACAAGCACAGAAGTTCTCGTCAGTATTTAAAATGTGAAGACGTTTCATAGCCATGCTATATAACTGTTGCTGCTTTCCATAATTGTATTTTCCTTTTAATAATTAGGTGTTGTGCTTATTGTTTTGATTTATTAAATATGCTTAATGGAGAAAAAATAAGAAAAACTAAAATAAAAAAATAAGATTCGTAATTCCTCTTACTATTTTGTAGATATAATTTTTGATATTCTTTGTATTTGCATTTTTCTTAATTTAAATTAATTTGTAATATGCAAATTTTACCCATGAGAATTTGTGAAGTCATTACATTTTTATAGATAACATGTATTATAATATTAATTATAGTATTTCATTGCATATATAATTAATTAACAACTCTGCTACTATTGACCATGTAAGACATTTATAATTTTCTTTTTGTAAATTACCCTGTGATGATCATGTTGGTATAAATACTTGCTTTTTTAGAAACAATGCATTACTAAGATAAAACTGCGGGCTCAAGTTTGTTGGAGTTTTAATGGTCTGGTATAAATAATCATACTATTTGTACCAAGTCCATTCCTTATTGACAGTCCCTCTATAACTTCATGGAAAGGCTTGCTTGCCAATGTACATTATTATAACAAATAAAATTATTATAACAAATAAAATTATTAGAACAAATAAAATTTGTTATAATAGTTGCAAAATTGACAGAAATTAAACTTTGACTCCCAATGAGATTGACAATTTTGCATATTGTTTATTAAACACTTTACCTAATTGTGAAATATGTCTTTATATAAATTGCTGCTCATTTATTATCTTATAATTTCAATTTATATGACTTTCTAATGACACATTTTTATTTATCCATTTGTAAAAATACTTTTGTATTTTCTGTTTAACCTAATATTTTATGTTTTCAATGTGCATTTGCTTTCATTTTTAATTTTTTAGAATTTTCTTCCTAACATAATAAATTTCTCTAAATTTTCTCCTTTTATGCTCTTATTTATTTACTCATCTACTAATTCAACAAATACTATTTAAGCATTAATTATGTCATACAATGTGCTAGACACTGGAAAGAGCACCTACTTTTAAGGCTTTTATGACCTATTAACAAAGAAAGAGGAAAGTACAGAATCACAGTGGAAAGTATTATAGCAGTAGTAGTGAAATAGTGAAAAAGTATAATGGCATGTAAGAACAGGGTGGGAATAAAACACACAGGACATCTAGCTGAACCTAGAGAAAGAAAGCATTTCTTATAAGAAAATGATCTTTGAAAATCCTGAATTTAAGAAAGATGTTACTAGATATATAGTTACAGACAAAGTCACACAATCTGTCAAATCTGATATTGTGGTTCCTGTGGGAGAGAAAAGTCTACACTGTGAAAAGGAAGCTGTATGCATGAGGAAGGTCAAATTCCGAAGGGCAGAGCGTGCCATGCAATGGAGCTCCTACTTATCTTAAAGACAATGGGAACAACACTCAGGTTTCCATGTGGAAGTGGCATCAGGGAGCAATGACTAATGGCAGGATGACCAGTTTAAAGGGCATCAGAACTCAGGCACTAGCATGATAAATGTTTTATTACACAAATTAATCCACTGGAGTCTCAGCTTCTTCATCTAAAATAAGAATAATAACACCTACCATAAAAGTTTCTTATTATGATTACATGAGATTTTTAAAAAATATATTTTTATTGATTTCAGAGAGGAAGGGAGAGGGAGAGATAGAAACATCAATGATGAGAGAGAATCATTGATCAAATGCCTCCTGCAGGCCCCCTACTGGGGACCGAGCCTGCAACCCAGGCATGTGCCCTTGACCAGAATGAAACCCGGGACGCTTCAGTCCACAGGCTCTGTCCACTGAGCCAAACCAGCTAGGGCACATGAGATATTTTTTTTTAAGAATTCAAATTAGTAAGATACAGTTGGCACTGAACAAGTAGAAGAATTAATATTAAGAGATTGAATATAAATTTGTGAATATTTTAACTTTTTACCCTATAAATATTGTTTGGATAATTTTTTGATGTCCTAACTATAATTCATAATCTGACATCTGAAAATCCCAGTCTAGGTGCCTCATAAAATCAACTTAGACCACTTTAAATCACTACATAATTCTATCCATCATTTTTCCTCTCTTGCTATAACCCAGCTCAGTGAATTTGTACTGGTCCATCACAGAAGAATCAGAGGAGCATCCTGAAATCTTTCCTTTGGCATTCCTTCAATTTCACATTCTCACATGCAAATCAACATCATTTTGTCTATTGTAATTATTATTTTTTAATTGATTTTTGGAGGTATAGGAAGGGTGAGAGAGAGAAAAACATAATGAAAGAGAAACATCAACTGACTGCCTCTTGCATCCTCCCTGCCAGGGATCTAGCCTGAAACCACGGGGCATGAGCTTTGACACAGAATCAAACCTGTGCCCCTTAGTGCATGGGTAAATCCTCAACTACTGAGCCACACCAGCCAGGCTGCCTATTGTAATTCTTAACTGATTTTTAAATGTTTTTATTTTCTGTTCATTGGTAAATTGTATTTTTCCCATCCAAATGCTGTAATTTATCTAAGATTTGGAAAGGAAAAACTTTAATAAAATTATGTTAAAGTGTCACCATTTTATTTTTTAAATATCTATTTTTATTGATTTCACAGAGAAAGGGAGTGGGGGAGAGAGATAGAAACATCAATGATGAGAGAGGATCACTGATCTGCTGCCTCCTCCACACCCCACATTGAGGATTGAGCCCACACATGGGCATGTGCCCTGACCAGGAATCTGACTGTGACTTCCTGGTTCATAGATCACTCTCAACCTCTGGGCCACCGGTCGGGCTTAGTGTGACCATTCTAAAATCATCAATGGTACTGCTGGATCCCTTATTTATTTGAAGTTCCATGTTTACTCTCTATAGGAATCTTTTGTTTTATTGCTTTAATTTTTGCTTCTCTGGCTGTTCTTATCTCACTCAGGATTGCTGTTTCATGAATACTGAATCATTTACTCCATCTCTGCTTTATTTTTGCTAAGTATATTAAATTTTTTTCTGGTAGTCCTCAAATTTCTAAAAGAATGTTAACACGTACTTGTTTGTCAACTAAACCCAGTTTGTCACTCACTGTCAATTGCATTGTACACAATAGGTTTTTCACCAGAAACTGGTCATTTCTGATCCAAGATCATGGAAAATGTATTACAAATCTTGCAATTAAGATTATTTGTTTCCTTAAGTTTCCTTCTGTTTCATGAGGGAATGTGTTGGTTTGCTTTCTTAACATAGTGCACTTCCTTTGAACTTTTTTTTTTCACATCTCTACTGATGTTTTTATATTTTCTGATCTTTAAAGAAAGCGGTCTGCATTTTTACATTATTAGGACTGTAATTGAATTATACCTGAATTTATTCAAATTACTGATTCTCTAAAACAAAGGTGGTAACCACTGTTTACCTACTTCTAGTTTGTTCAGTCCAGGTTTTCTTGCTCATGGGACATAGGGCATGAGAAACTAGGTCTGCAAAAGCAATTTATGTCACTGGCTTCCTAGGTGATTTTAAAAGACATTTTATGTAGTTAAGAGCCATTCTCAAATAATTCTTGGGAATGACTTGTTCCCCCAGGTTGTCCCATGTGCCACCGTTGACAACAGTTTTTGGACCCACAGGCCAAAAGAACAATTTCTGGTGGAAGGTAGAAAAGAAAGTACAGGCCAATTATTTCATGATTGGGGAAACCTCTTGTGTGCCAAGACATTGGTGGTTTGCTTGTTTTGTCTTTTTGGGGGGAAACAGCTTAAAGGGAGCGGTGGTATGCACTCCCTATCTTCTTCATTCTCTTATTATAGCTATTATGTTTTTCCAATATTGTGTTTTATTTATTTATTTTTCAAAAAGCTAATGGGGGTACTAGCATTCTGTTTTTTGTTTATTTATTTTATTTTGATCTGGTTCCTTTTGCTCAGTGTAATTATTTTGAGATTTATCTATGTCGTTTTACATAGTTCATTCTTTTTTTGTCTTCCAGAAAAAGAAAAAGCTAATGGGGGTACTAGCATTCTGTTTTTTGTTTTGTTTTTTATTTTATGATGATCTGGTTCCTTTTGCTCAGTGTTATTATTTTGAGATTTATCTATGTTGTTTTACATAGTTCATTCTTTTTTTGTCTACCAGAAAAAGCATGAACTATGTAAAACATTTCATTTCATTTACCCATTCACCTATAGATGGACATTTTGGTGTGTCCAGTTTGGGGTTATCACAAATAAAATTGCAATGAACAATTTATGTACAAGTCTTTGAGTAAACATATGCTATAATTTATCTTGGAGAAATACCTACATGTGATGTGATATGGATTATATAATAAGTGTATGTTTAAATATTAAGAAACTGCCACTTTTTTTTCCAAATGGTAGTATCATTTTACATTTTCACTCCAATATATGAGAATCACAATTGCTCTACAGCCTTGTTAACACTTGTGATAGTCACTATTTTTACTTTAACACAATCTAATAGGTATTTAGTATTAACCCATTGTCATTTAATTTACATTTTTCTAATGAATGGTGATGTTAAATATATTTTATAAGTGTTTTTGCCATATGTAGAGTTCTTTCATAAGTTGTATGTTTAAATATTTTACCCACTTTTACTTGAGTTTTCTTATTAGTGAGGTTTTGGAATAACCTCTGTTTCTAGATACAAGTTCTGACAAGATACATGACTTAAAAATTGTTTCTCAATTTTTATTTTAAAGAGCAACATTTTCAATTTTTATAAAGTCAAATCATCAAATTTTCTTTATGGATCATGCTATTGGTGACATAACTAAGGAATTTTTGTCCAAGACAAGGATAAAAATGTTATCTTCTATGGTTTCTTCTAGAAGTTTTACACTTTACATTTGGGTTTATGACACTTTTAAAATCAATATTTGTTTATAGTGCAAGGTATACATCAAAGTCTATTTATTTATGAATGTCCAATTATTACAGCATGACTTGTTTGAAAGATGATACTTTTTCCTCTGAATTGACTTCACAACTTTATCAAAATCATTTGTCCTTATTTATATGTGTGAATCTATTTCTGGACTTTATTTTGTTCTATTGATTTATTCATCTAGATAGTTATAACTATGTCATCTAGAAAATTACAATTTTGAATATATAAATAAAGTCATTATATAGCTTCTATCATTTTATTAAACATGTCCATTAGCACTATTAAAACAAAATTGAAATTTTAATATTAAAAATAACCGTGTTTGCAGCTATGCTTCATAAAAACAACTTTAAAGCATTGGAACAACTCTATTTGTTACAAATCTAGATAGTCAAGTATTTTTTCTTCACTAGGCTTTTCCTTGTAATTTCTATTTTACTTCATACAAAATTCAGAAGCTTTCATTCTTCCGGGCAGTTTTATTAGTGTTTTACTGAACACAGACTCTCTAAAAGATTTTGCATTGATTTTTAAATGATTTTTCTCTCATAGAAGATACTTAATGGCTATGGCCTTGTGCTTTCATGGGAGACCTTTTGTCACCTTATGTACCTTGTTGTTCACTTAGATCTGAATCTGCTGTTTTTTAAATGTGTTCTAATCATAACCTTCAGACAATGTGAGCAAAAATGTTTGCTAATTAGGTCCCTCAATAGGAAGTAAGTTCCATGCTGAACTTCCAAATGACTACCCTATTATAATTTTGTAAAGCTTGCTTGAAATAATACCTTAGTAAGCACCACTGCTTTTCCCCCCAAAGATTTAAATTTAGTTTTAAAATACCCAATATGTTTTAAATCTCAGAATGCTGAAACATGGAGTTTGGTTAGTTGAGGGGTAAAGTTAATAATTTTGTATTGTGATATTTCACACCTGTGATAAATGGCTGCATAGTGATATAGCAACAATAATATGTTCCCATAAAAAAGGCAAGAAATAATCTTTATTTTATATTTCTTCCTGCTAACACATATTCCTCATAGCCTAAGTGAGACATATGAATATATACATATTTATGGCATCAATAACTTTGTATTCTTCTTATGAAATACGTCTAATTTTTTAAATAACATAATGAATGGCTAGATAAAAACAAGATTGTATAGTGTTTGTTTTTGTTATATTTTAAGAATATTTTGAATAGCATATTTGATACAGATTTGATGACAATGCACATGTTTAATTTAAGAGAAACTTTTACTTCCTATACATATTTAAATATGTATAGATAAATATATATGTATTCTTTAGATATATGTAAACAAAGGCTTCTCATATTTGCTACAAACTTTTATTTAACAGCTGGAAATATACCTAATTATCATTCAGAAAATAATTTGGAAGTTAAATATATATCTACACTTAAAAATATTTAGCTAGAGATTTACTACATTTGTCAAATACAACTCTATGACATCACTATAACCAAAACACATCTATTAAATTATTATTTTAAAAAGAACTAAAGAACTGAGGTCAACCGTTTAAGCTTGATTCAACCTACTTCCAGCTATTTCAACTAAGGCAGATTACTGTATCTCATGTTTTTGTTTTCATAAAGCCCAAATTTCAAGCCCTCTGGATTTATATCATTAACTTAAATTGCATTTCTTGCTGTTTCTCCCATTGTTCTTAATAATGTGTTCAGAAAATAAAGTGTTACCCATATGTCAGTTTCTAAAATTAAAAGTAGAAACCAAGCCTCTAAATTTTTTATGATCAAACTATGAATGCAAATATAGCTGCTCAAAATGGGTAGATTTTAATAGTGATGTAAGATATTTTAGTTGATCTTTATTTTAATTTGTAAAGGGTTCCCCTTTAAAAAATGGGTACATGTGTTTATTAACATTTATTTAAATAATACATCAAACACTTGAAGATATATCATCTATGTTTAAATAAAGATTAATAACCAGCTAATCTTAATGCATTTGGATTATTTTAAGTTTTCTTAACAGTTAGTTTCTAGAGGTTTCAGGATATATCAGTTTATGTGAAAAAAGTAAGCAAATGCAAGCAAGCTAGGTGTATTAGGTAGTATAGGGAGTAAGTCTAATATGTCAGCAGAAAAATAGAGAAAGGCATTAGTACTTGAAACCCTTCATGAAAAAGTTAGAGCAATGAATAAAGTATATTATTATAATAATAATATGGCATTTCACTGATGTTTCAGCTGAGAATAAATAAAAAATGAATCATAACTTTATGCAATTTAGCAGTGAGTAAAATATCTCTCTAGGTAATTCTATAAGTACAAAAGTAAGCTATGAATTATTATCATAACACAAATGTAAATTTATTTTGAACATTTTTCAGCACTTTTGTTTTTACATTTGCAAGTAGCTCCAAAAATAAAATAAAATGACATGCAAGCTGAAATAATACAGCTCTTCATCAAAGTTCTGTTTTATGATGTTTACAACTTACTCCTAATGCTGCATTTTATACTTATTTATAGTATTTATTTCAATCCATGACAAAAATTCAAATGTATTTTTCAAATTTGTGTTTTAATATGCTTCATCAAAATAATTTTTAATTATTCCACTATGGTAAGGATAACCTGGAGAGGACTAAGTTTCAAACTGTACAAATTACATAGCATGTATTTTTGCACATTGAATTAAATGTTCATTTAATTTTAGAAATTAAGAAATACTATTTTAACTCAGAATTAAATCACTGATCTTATTCTGTGACTGAATCTGCTGACTATATGTATGGATCAGCTATGCTTTCCTTTGGGGATTTTTAGCTTCACTTGCCTACTTAATTCCAAGGCAATAACCTGGGGCTTGGTGTGTTACTTTGAAAAGCACAATACCATTTCTTGAATATTTCTATAAAATTATGCTTAAATAATTCTGTTTT